AGGTCGGCAAGGCCTATTGAAGCATGATGAAATTAGTAAATTATGTGAATATTGACGTCCCCCAGACCGGGGCCCCAGGTCAGTCATCATGTGTATGCCCCAAAAATCGATAGAGCAATGTTACAAAATGGTAAGCCTCGAAGTTCCAAACTCATGGTGGTGATATGTGGTTGAGAAATGTCTTTTGTATTCGATATATCCATTCGTTTATCAGCAGTATTCAACAGCGACTATAGTCGAGGGGCAAGGATGGCCAATAACTCCCATTGTTCTCAATTTTCGTTGCTGTTGGTCACTTTGGCATCTGTCCCCGCCACTCCTGTTTCGATAGAACGTCTCACGACGATATTATTATACTGATGAGCTTCCTTGGAGGCCGTTTGCAGTGAGACAAATTTTGAATAGATGAGCACAATTTCTGAATATCCGTAGTACCGTTTTAGCCGAGATGTGGTCTATTCAAATGCCGTTTGCCATTGCAACACTCGGAGAACTGGTGCCTGTACCTTGCCAATTTGTTTTTACAGGTCTGTGAGTGACATTCCCGGGTGTAGACAGTTATTTTACTCAATATTACATAATAGTACACCTACTTTCATGGCCTAAAAAACACCTCGCTGCAGGATGACATTTCGCACCATTACGGCATTAGGGGCCGTCCGTAAAATAATATCGATGTTTTTTTAGAGACGATATTGGTGCTTCTCTCCCTTGACCCCCCTCCCTCCCCCAGAAGACGCACATGTACATCTAGATCATGGAATCAATATTTTTGGATGCTCATGAAGTGCCCAGGATGTTGAGGGTCCGGTGTAGGCGTGAAAATCCCGCCGCACTCACGCAATAGCTGCATCGCCTGGGGGGAGCGAACCGGGTTGGCGCTGCAGTGCTCACAGCCATCGTGTACTGGTGTAGACAAAGCGGCTACGCTCGGGCTTGAATTTTTCAAATCCTTGTTCAGACAGTGAAGACTGGAAACTCTTGTGGAGTTCGTCCGTGTTTGTTCGCACTGCCTCTACGTCTTGAAAAAGGTCTCCTAGATCCTGCAGGCATCGTTCGGCCGATTTCCACAATCAATAGCTCATTCTTTTGCTCTTGAAATTCGCCATGGGCGTACAGCTTCCAATTTTTGATTTTGTTCTCGTGTCGCGAGTTTTAGCTCCGCGAACGGAAGCTGGTTTCACATTTCTTGTATAGCCATTTAGACGTCCGCGTGCAGGGATCGGCGAAACTTCAGATATTTACATCGATATTTTTCTGATGCTCGAAAAGACGCACATGGCTCAAACCCCCTCCCCCCCCCCCCCCCCCCCAGACGCACCAATATCGTCTCTAAAAAAACATCGATATTTACGGACGGCCCCTTAGAGACGGCCGACCAGGCCAGATTTTTGGTGCTTCACAACAACAGTTGACACATTATTGATTATGGTCCCGGAAAGTGGAGAAAAATAGAAAATTTACAATCACGTTACATAATTTCAGATGACCTCGTACAGTGGAGTGGAGCAATCTAGACTTATAGTGTCTGGTCCATGAGACTTGAGAGCTCCAGAAAGTAGCGCCCGAACCCGGTGCGTGCTAGCTTGGGACGGAAGGATTTTCTCGTCGACAGCGCGGAATGCGAGAGTGAAACCAACAGCGCAGAAGGGCCAGGATCGGAACCGATTTGGCCGCGAAATGGGACAGTAGTGTCTATGTACCTAGCTGAAAGCTTCAACGTCTTGCCTTCCCGTATGGATGTGGAATCTGATCATGGCAAACGCTAACCGTGAGTCAGGTCGAGCCATTGTTTCTACTTCGAAGTACTGTTAATCTCTGTCATGGTATGCCGTCGAAATGTGTGAGTTATTGTCCGATACTGAGGGATATTTCAGCTGTGTCATCCACGATGGATAACCTATCTTTCGTTCGAAATGGGGGGGGGGGGGGCTCTAGCTACAACAGCGAGATACGCGATGGATATTTACATGACCATATTCCAAATCATTATAATTATCATTATTATCAGGAACGACGTTTAGCAAAGTGAAAGTAATTATTAGTTCGAAAGAAAATTCGAGTCTGGAAATGAGTACAGAAACAAACTTCGGAAACTTAGTAACTTGGATGCGAAGTTGCAGTGATTTTGCAGAAGTAACGTTCTCTTTCCTCGGTACACATTTGACGAGAGGAAGTAGTAAAATTTCAGGTGTTCCGGCTACAAGGAAATGGGATACATGGTCACCGGAAATGAATCGCATTCTTTCAATCATGGACTGCCCGGTTTCCAACCCTAGATCTGCACGTACCAATGTGCACGAATTGGGTGGGTTAACTTTTTCGAAATAAGGTCCTGACTGACCAGACCGGGGGCTACGGCTCTGAATTACGTCACCGCTACACGATATGGTGTGAGGCTGTGACATCAGTTTCTACTAGACCTTGACGTACATGTGTGTGACGACTCTGGTACGCTTTCCCTGGCACTTTTTGTTTTGCAATGTGCATAAGTTGTGGACGGTCCCCGATACTGGATATGCTACTATTTATTCTACTGATTGACTGTTTTCAATGTCCTGCATGCCCTCTTTGTCATGCTACTAGGGTTGTCAAGAGTAACGGGCCGCACACAGCGGCAGTGGCCACCCGCTCCAATGCTACTAGCCAAACAGGTTAGTTCCGGTTCTAGTAAACAAGTACTCCAACTTCAACAGAATGATGCTGATATCTCCGGAGTGTTTGCGCACTTTAATAAAACACACTAAAACTCTAAAACCCTTATCCGACCGTCAAAGTGGACACATTCTCAGTCCAAGTGAGACGCCACGACCCATTTTGATGATAACTTTAGTTTACCTTGGGTGATAACGGCAATCTTGGGCTTTTTGGAAAGCTTGAGCGATGAGGAGTTCTTTAGAAACAGTTTCTAGCCTTCATTTGTAAAAGGAACACAAATCCATCTCCAATTCCATTTTATTTTAGAGAAGTACGGCTCATTGACATGTGGACTATTTGTAGTCTTAAATTTGTACTTTCAAGGTAACACATTTTGAATTTTACCATCAGGGAAGCCTCCAGGCACAGTTTTAGGAGGGCAACGAAATCATTAAGTTACACCGTTTGGAAACTTGTTTCTTATGCGGTGTGAAAACAGACCTCATTCAAAGACTTATATCTTCTTTATGGAACATGCTAGGACGCTCCCGTTTTTCGCAAATGAATTGTGGGTCTTTCCTGCTTCTTTTGAGACCAAAAAGGTGGAGATTTGATCGAAAATAGGTGAGTTACAGCTTGTTACAGTCATCGATGGACAAACGTCGATTTTTGACTGGCCGGTCGGATAAGGGTTTAAAAAAATAGCCCTAGGGGCTTAGAGTCCACATGCTGAACATGAATTCACCAGGGCTGCAGAGATACATGCATCTTTGCACATGCACACGCATTGTTTTGTTTTGTTTTTACATCAAACACAACCCTACCTTTGAGTTATGAAGGAAAAGAGGAGAAGGATAGTCATATCAACAATTCCATAGGATGATCACGACCATTCAATAGCAGGCAAGGCGTAATAATATTTTAATATTTGCTCTGTGCTGCGCTGATGAGTTCAAAAAGAACGAAACAGCATGCTGTCCGCAGATTGAGTAATATTTTAATATAATTATTATTACTTCAAGTTGTACATAATTATGGTGTGTTTATGCCGGGGTGGCATGCTTTCTCGTGTTTCTTCGTCTCCGTCATGCTATGTACTAATGCTGTCCTCCCTTTTTCAGATGACGATTCTCTTTTCCAACCAATGCAACAGCAAGTTCTGGCTATGGCTCCCCTCCAAGGAGATTCCTATCTTGTGGATTGCTTAGGAAAACTGAAGACACAACAGTCCACCTTTATGACATACTTCTTGAATAATACCGGATCAGACAACCCAGTATCGAAAGTTGAGCTACTTGCAGGCACAGACCAGCAGTCTGTAAGTAATGAAATGGCAACTCCCAGGTCAACTATACTGCAACTCTCCATTACTCCACGGCAACGCTCCAGCAATGGCACCGGGCAGTTTTCTTACAACTATCGCTGTGGAGTACGGCACTCACTGGCGTCAACCGTTGTCTGGTCGGATGAATCCTTTGAGTGGAACTCATACTCGAGTACGTACATGTACATCTGTTTATGGTTCAATGCACACTGCGTGTTCACCATGGTACTACACGCACACCCGCAACTTGTACATCTGACCCTGAACTGCCTGGTCCTTACACTACGAATAAACCCATTGCGCATTGCCAATATGCTCATTGTGCAATGACATAATTTCAAATTTTGTACCTCGAACATCCCACACAGCCACCTGGGCATGGTTGTTTGGGGTGGTGAACAGTGCATTCCTGATCCCAGCGTACTCACATACATTACGCATACCTTCCATATTTGGCAATGCGCAATGGGCTTATTGTGACTGTGCCGTCCAGTGAATGTCGCTTGCTTATGTAACAACAGGGTTGTATTTTGTAGGGGTGTCAACGAGTAGTAGAGTACCCGTGCTACCCATAATTTGATCGGGTAGTAGGGTAGCAATTTGCTCCTGAGAACCCGATCGGGTAGTGCTTACTGTACACTTTCTATGTAGCGCAAGTGCACACTCACAGTACAAACTTTGTCCAAAAATACCCGATAGGGTTCCCGTGCTACCCGGATAAGAATGCCCGAACCCGTTACCCGACCAAACCTCTACCCGTTGCCGCTGTGGTATTTTGCCCCCCCCCCCCCCTGCAGTGACGTAGTGTACATGGCAAATATGCACTACAGAATGACATGTCATGCTTTTGCTCTAGGTCGCATTTCATCATGCCCATGTTTGTAAAATTATACTTTGATGATGTGCACGTGTATGAACATTTACTAAAGGCGTTGTTTTGCTTCCTTCATCTGTACTTAGATCCAACTCCTGCACAGCGTCTGGCGGATCAGAAAGCAGTAGAATTTCTAACAGACACATCTTCCACTGACGTGTCTCAGGATTCTCAGACAACAGTTGAAATGCAAAGTAAGAAAAATACATGTATGGAGAACACTCGGTGTGGTGCTGCTGATGTGTGAAGCACTGCAGCCACTTTTAAAATACTTCAATTTCACTCCTTGTTGAGTTCCTTTTCCAAAATGAACATTTCTAGAGAAATTCATCAGGGCCAGTGTGCGTGTATGGGTTTTGTGAGATGTGGCATGATGTGGCATGCCACAGGTAATACATGTATCTGTAGGCTTATTATGTTGTGTCATGAACCCATCTTGTTCTTCTCTTGTCTGCATATGTTCAGTTGATTCCAGAAAGCAATCGGCTGTCCTGCTTCCTCTGCAAGAACCAATCATAAAAGTCATAATGGAAAACGAAACGGATGCCGTCCGCATGATCTGTTCTGCACTTCTTACGGCTGGCAGCATCTTGTCCAAGCCTCTCATCTCCTGGGGACGCTCAAAGCGAGGCTCTACAGTTACCAGTCAACTTGTGGCCAGCAAAAAAATCAACATTTCCGTGGACACCAGTAGTGATAATGCGTCGCCGAATTCCAAGTACGTCCGTTCTGTTCTGAGTATTCTTCCCGGCCAGTTGGAGACAAGTGACATGACCTATGTGTACAGGTGCGGTCTTTTCCATGTCGAGACAAATTCCATCGAGTGGTCATCTGATGCATTCAGCCTGCGCAAGATTGGTAGGTGTTTTTGCTTAGAATGATTGCAATACCATGCATGACAGTTCTGGCGCAAAAGACTATCGATATTGTGTGGTTAGATTTCTGAATCATTCAAGCACATGCCTGTAGTAGAAATAAACCAGTATTTTTTTAGTGGTGTGCACGGGTAGTCGGGTACCCGTGCTACTCGTGAGGACCTCGGGTAGACGGGTACAGAATAGTACCCAAAAACCCGAAGTCGCAGATGACATCATGTACAGTGCGCGTGTACAAATTCATATAATAGGGAGGTTTCGCTCTACGTAATTACGTATAAAAATCCGTATGTCGTACGCGCCGGGGAGCGAGGGCAACTTTCATACGTAAATCTCTCTACAGATTTCCGTAGGAAAGCTCTTTCCTACGTTGGGTCCTCCGTAGAACTTTTGAAATATTTTTTGCATTTTCCGCATTTGTCCATGGCAACGTTCAAGCCGCGCGAAACACAAGGCACACACACTGTACACCACGTTCAAAATAAAATGGAAACACGGTTTCGGTTCGTGGAGCATGCGGTGGGTGCATGCAGCCAACGCGCCTCCAAAGCACAAACGCATGTTTAGCAGTCGTGGAGAAATTACGTAGAGCGAAACCCAACAGCTCTGATTTTTCTGTATGAAAATTCCGTGCAGTTCCCACGTTATTTTCATACGTAATTCCGTAGGGCGAAACCTCCCTAATACTCGGTATGTACATGTAGCTACCATGGTCTACCCAGTGTGTAAGGGAAGGGGTGCATTGTGGTGTTACGATGGAAACATTACCCGATCGGGTACCCGTGCTACCCGTGGAAAACAACCGGAACCCAATACCCTAAGGAAATGCTTCCTGACTCAGCCCTATATTTGTTAGACAGTGTGAACAGTGGTGCTACATGCATGATGGTCAGGCTACAGTGCTTGTCAGGGCCTACTGGAGAGCCGGGTCACGCGCCCGGCTGGGGAACTGCACGACCTGGCTGAACAGATAACACCGGGTCCAGTCTGACCCGGCTGAAAAATGTCTCTAAGGGCGCGTTTGGTTGGTACGAACTAGAACAGGATTCACCAGGACAGCGCGTTTGGTTGGGACTGCACCTGTTCTGGGTCGGCCAAAATATGTTCTGCTTGCTCCGGCCTCCAGGCCGTAGCAGACCGAGCAGTTTCACTTTTTCACAGTGAAACCTGGCGGGAACATCGATTTTGGTCCCAAATGATCACGTGCATACTCTTTTTGGGTTGGACTCGTTGTACCTTACAAAGTGACCATGGTGACCCATACACATTTTGAAGAATGCACCAAGTTTGGCACATTTTTCCACAAAAATGTGCTCTGTTTCTGGAGTACCGTTTGGTTGGCATGAGGCTGCTCCATGTGCACCAGCTGTTCGATCCTGTTCTAGATTGTACCAACCAAACGCACCCTAACTGACAATGGATTCCTAAAATGCCGGTATTTTACGACTCGCGGACCCCATCTGTTGCAAATCTAGCGCAACCGTACACACTACAAAGTCTACACTACAGTAGATCTACAGTCTACAAGCGACAGACTCGGCTAGGGTCAACTGGGGTAGGCCCCGGTGTAATATGCCCGAAACTTTGCCGAAAATGCTTTTGGGAAATTCTCGTAAACCTTGCCGAAAATGCTCCCAAACCTTGCCGAAAATGCTCGGAAATGCTCACTTTTTGTAATCCTCAGCACACGCCGTCAAAAACAGGGAGTCAGAAAATATTCAATAAGAGACTTGCTCGAGTTGCCATGGGAAACAATTCATAAACTACTCAACAAGAAGCTAACCCACGGAATGCGGAAGTGACGTTCTTGTTTGGGAAGTTTTTCTTCTCTCAACTTTGATACACAACGGCCAAGTGCACCGTTTCCCCCAAAATGCTGCCATCACGAGCCCAAAGTGCTGGGTTCGCGGATTGTACCGAAAATGCTCAAAAAATGCCGGCATATTACACGGGGGCCTTAACTGGGGTCAACTGGTTCCAGCGCGATCTGGCCAGCGGCGAGCAGGAAGTCAGGACATTCAAAGTCGATGGGGCAGGCATGCAGTCAAAAGCGTAACTGTGGCTATAGCTTTTGACACAGTCGCAAGTTTTCATCCGACTGGTGATTTGGACGATGGAGCTCGCGCCGAAGAGAAAAAGAACTCACGCTTTCCAAGACTCTTGGAAGAAAGGTCGACCCTGGCTGGACTACGAGCATGCCAGTCTATCCATGTCATGCGCTTTGTGCAAGACGCATTTCCAAACTTTGGAAATCCACCACCGCTTGTGTTCTGGGAACACGAGCGGCGGTGGATTTGGTCGCGATGCGTGGTGGAAAGGTAAGAACTCACTGCTTCGAATTATCGGCATGCTCCTCGGCTCCTGGGTGCTGCAGCCCCCCCCCCCCCAGTGCTCTATTATGTGAACATGTTCGTCCTACTAGTAGCACTAATTAGAAAACAGAATTCCTTTTTTTCAAATAATAATTGTTAAATCAGAATCCAATGGAACTGCTTTGCATTCTTCAAGTAATGTCGTTTACCTTCTACATTTGCAGACTTTGATAGTTTGCCTTGTTCTCTAAACGATTTCCGGTAATAAATTCGCCTTTATGTTTTCCTGCGTTTTGAGCAGGCTTTTTGGTTGTTTTTCTGCCGGATGATTTGACCCGGCTTGACCCGGCTGGCCTGCATGCGCCAGGTACACTCTGACCGGGCTGTGTTGAATGTCTAGAGCAGGCCCTGCTTGTCCTTGTCGATAGTTACTGTGAGTAATGAGCATGTGTGTTCAACAATCAGTCTTGTTTGTGCATTGCTGTAGGTACATCGCCACCACTTGTTGTCAGTACTGGCAGTAAGATTTCCTCACCGGTGGAAGGCCACATCACCGATGTTGCTCCGCAAAAAGCAACCGATCTTACCCTGACCAATTCAAAGGCGGCCCATCCTCCTGTCGATGAAAATGCAAAAGCAGGTATGGCTGGTGGTAATACTTACTTCAACATGGCTGCTTTAACTTAAAGTATGTAAGAAGGTGTTAGGTTTTGCTTTTGCATTTGTATTTGTTCCAGAAACTGGGGGTCCTCCTTTAGTTTCTTTATGTGCTGTGCCTGGTCCGGACGACCCAACAAACAACTCACCCACCCGTTACAGGCACCATTGGGTTTGGGTTTCACGCCCCAGCCCTGCCTCTTGCGGTAGAGCGCTGATCTCCTCAATTATCTCTTGGGCCATCTACATGGGGCAATGAAATGCCACACCAGAAAACCCAGGATTAGTCCACATAGAGTCACAGCACCGAATGCCACGACTCAACCCAAGGGTCAGTCAAAAGCCTGTGTTGCAAACAACGTTATGTAGGACCGCCACGAAATGTGAGCGAGACCCAGAATCCCAAGTGCACAATATATGCAGACTGTCACTCAACATCCACCAAGAGTTCCATAGTCGAGGACGTACCTTGTTAGATAAATAGAGAAGGAATGGAGGGGATATAAGAGCGAAGAGACAGTGCCGGAGTGAGGACGAATGCCAACAAAACAAAGGGATTTATACTCGAGGAAAAACACAGTACGTAATTTACTGAGTCATGCAAGGGTGAAGGAGAATACAGAATGCGGGATAGGGGAATAGGGGAATGCAGAAGGCGGGGTAGGTGCATGCAGAACGGCAGAAGCTAGGTTCATAATTCATACTTCGTCGTACAGAATAGCGCCAGATGCTGGAAATATGTTTGTGTCACAGTTGCGGCATGGTACAGCAATATAGTACGAACCATAGCATCGCAACAAGGTGTACATCAAGCAGAGTGCAAAGGTGACGGGCAGAACTAGCAAAGTGTAAAGTGTACAACAACAACAACAACAGAGAGGCGAAATATCATAGTATGGTTCTACAGTGTGACCGTACTCAAAATGCCGGCTCGACTTGTCAGCGTGTCAACCGCCTGTCGACTGTTCTCATTGCACCAGATGCCACCACAGTTGTCACGATTTAGATTGCCAATGCATCTTCTCCAGCTGCCGCGTGCTCTGCCTTCGATTTCGGGTCACGACACTTACAGATGTGAGGGAAATGTGGTTAAGGATGTTCCGTAGTGCGTGGATGAAGCTGCCATGGTCCATAGAAAGGGAATCATGCTTGATACATTTTTGGTTATGTGGAGCACGGTCAGCTAAAACATGTCTGGTGGTTCGTAGGTACATGACGGAATGACAAATTGTTTCTGTGCGCTTCACCCATCGGTAGGGGTGAAACGATTAGTTCGAATATTCGAGTATTCGTTCGAAAATTTCAAACGAGCGAGTATTCGAAATTTTGCACTCTATCGGGGTTTTTTTTTTTTTAGTATTGGCATTCTATTTTTTAAAAACTTCTGTTGTACCGCTCATCAACTGCTTTGAGTCAGTATTTTATGACTTGGATGATGCGATCACCAGGGCAAGTAACGTTAGTTTGTTATGAGATAATGAAAGTACTGGTGAAAATCGTTACTCTACACTCTGTACAAGACGTTGGCGATTTTTGTTCTATGTTCACAGATAATTTCTTCCGAATGGGTCGAGAAGTCACAAATCTAGCGCTCTAGAATTTTGATAAAATACTCGAAATAATCGGATACTCGATCGACTATTATGTATGAGCGATCGATTGGTCAAAATAGATACTCGTTTCACCCCTACCCATCGGCAATCGGTGGAGATAGAATCTTGTAGAACTCCCGTTTTTGCACGGTCTAGTTCAAGTATTCGTAGTTGGCGGGCAAAGTGACAATTTTCTGGGAAACAATAAAAATTGAAAAAGTTCACTTGTTTTAGCTGACTCTGGCCCGTGTACTCTTGTTTCAATGCAAAAGCAGATATTAGGGAGGTCTTGCTCTACGTAATTACGTATTGAAAATCCACATGTCGTACGCGCCGGAGAGCGAGGGCAACTTTCATACATAAAATCAAGAGTACAAACCCCCCAAGAGTGTGCAACTCCAGCTATGGGTTCTGCAACGGCAGAACTTCACATCACGTGATGAACCCGTACACATTATTTGCACTCCGTGCATGATTGATACAGGGTTGTACAAACCCCAGCTTTGGGTACAACTCTCTTGTGATAACTTTGCACTGTTTGCCAGTGTAACCTTTTGAACCATGTCACGTGATGTGAAGTTCTTCCATCGCAGCACTGCATAGAGGTTGTGCAGGCAGTTGCACACTCTTGGGGTTATGTACTCTTGATAAAATTTATCTCTCTACGGATTTCCGCAGGAAAGGGCTTTCCTAACTTTGATCCTCCGTTGGACTTTTTGAAATACTTTTCGCAGTTTCCGGATTTATCTATGGCAACGTGAAACACAAGGTCTACAGCACGTGGAAGGCTACCGTCCAGTTCAATGTCGCCTTTCCGGCGGGCAATTATCTCGGTTATCCAACAGCGCTCTAGCAGCGCATACACTGTGTTGTGTATCCACGTACACCCTACATGCAGTCTCACACGCAGCTCACCAGAGTCAACCAGCCGGCATGGATACATGTAGAGTAAGACCTGCGCCGAAAGACAAGCTCACCAGGCAGACAGAGGTTCCGCAAAGTGGAGTAGACGTCTTTCGACAGTGAAGAGATTAGATGTGCAATCATCTTCTTACGTACGCGTTCTTTCTCCGATGAGTTTGCACTGGCTGAAACAACACCGATGTCATTTGCGAGAAAATAAAACTCAAGCCGTTCCCGGTACTCCGCAAAGTCCCCGCCAGAAAACTGCTCCAGGGTGGCCTTCCCTGAAGAGGCCATGGTTTACCAAATTCTCGCAAGCCCTCAACTAAACAAATTATCTCAAAACAAAATCCCATCTTCGTCGCCATTTGTTGTGTATCCACGTACACCCTACATGCAGTCTCACACGCAGCTCACCAGAGTCAACCAGCCGGCATGGATACACAACACACTGTATATTAGGGAGGGGTTAATTAAGCTGCACCTTATTTTGATTTGACGCGCAGTTTCACGTCAAATTTGTTGGCGTAAAACTCCAAATTTCGACGTGAGCTGCAGGTCGCTCATGTTGTTTTCTAGGGTTAGCCCACATCCCACATTCACATGTAAAATACTAGACCGCTATGCAGTACACACACACACAGGGCACAGCGTTTAGAGTTAGGCGGGTGCTGGCTGCGAGTGAGGCAATGTGGCTCAAAATAGAGCATGAGAGAGAGAGTGGCTCAACATAGAGCATGCGAGAGAGGCAGTGGCTCAAAATAGAGCATGAGAGATCGAGTGGCTCAACATAGAGCACGGAGTGATTGAACTATTTACACCATTGCCGTTAAGAGTTGTGCCAGCACCCAGTATTTATTGTGAAAAGTGGATCGGTAGCGGAGGTCCTGGTTATAGGTTAGAGTAGAACCCGGGTTAAGGGTCAAACCGGATTAGGGATCGGAGCCCGGGAGGGGGGGGGGGGGGGATCATTTGGCACGTACATTGTGCGGGTGATCCTTCGGAGCCCGGGGGGGGGGGGGGGTCACTTGGCATGTACATTGTGCGGGTGATCCTTATACCGGGATTTAATTTCCGGCCCAAGGGGGTCCCCCGTCGGTTTCCGAGGAAGCCGTAACTTTTTTTGCTCCAAACTATTTTTCCGGGGTCCATCTACTCACAAAAAGTCGTTTTGCACACCTTTTTGCCCATCCCTGTACAACTGAGTCCAGCTATGTCCGCGCAGAGTTAGGTGGACCCTTAACCCGGGTTCTACTCTATGGTATGGGTGGGATGGCGGGAAAATAATTCAGAAGCCACTTCTGCTGAGCAAGAAGCGCCAGAAAACAACAACTAACAGTTTGAGCTCTCCAAACTGATGTTATATACAGTGTATACGATCGTTGAGCTGACGTGCAAGTGTATGGAGAACATGGAGAACGTGATCTAGGTTTCCGGTGCATGCGATGTGCGCATTCGGCCAACGCATTTCCAACGTAACACGGCATGCTTCAGATCGCGGAAAAATCACGTAGAGCGAGACCCAACAGCGCGGATTTTTACGTATGAAAATTAGGTTCTGTTCCTACGTTATTTCATGCGTAATTACGTAGAGCGAAGCTTCCCTAGTAGTGGAAACGATTATTTAAAAAAATAAGCTATACTAGTATTTAAAACACCCATTGGTTTGAGGGAAAGATGCAAACGGGAAAAGTCTGAAGAAAAATTTGACTGCGACCACCAGGACTCGAACCAGGGACCTTCGCTTGAGGCCAGCGATGCTCTTACCGCTGAGCTATATACATGATATAAAGTGTTCTTGAGTAGCTGTCATCCAATATACTAGTAACCCATTATTTGCTGGCTGACCGGGTGGAAATGTTCCGAATGCATGTGCCGGCCTGAAACGATAATTATTAGAATACTTCGAAGTACCTTGGTGATAATGAGGGCTTGGACCAGTGCAGTCCAGCAAATACGGTAAATCCTGGGAGCGGCACCATCAATATGAATTGCTCATCATAATTATGTACATCGATGAAGCAGCTGGCACATGACACGTACACGTACACACACACACACACACTCACACATTATACACACACACACACAGTTATCACACACTCAGTTATCACACACTCAGTTTGTGACTTCGTGTGTGTGTGTTTTTTTTGTTTGCCATTCTCTTTCTGTAGGGAATTCCCATGGGAAAAGGTCAATGGTAGGTGTTGCCCTTGGCGTTAGCTTAACAGTGCTTCTTCTTCTTTGCGCCGTCATTGCATTCATTTACAGAAAGAGACTAAACGCAGGCCGGCCAGCCGTAAAGCGTTTAGACAAAAGCAAACGGTATGTACTACATCGACGCGGGCATGTGCGCGCCATGTCCCGAGATGAAAATTCAGTGAAGCAGTACAGGTCTCCATCTTCGACATCAACATCAACTATCCAAACAATGGCGCCGCCTAGCGACACTTCTCCGACCTCCGAAGTGAAGGCTTATGCGGTTAGTAATAGCCGTGTTGCCAGCATTGCCAGCGTCGTTGCTAGCCCGCCTGCCGCTGCCACTGCTGTAAGTGCTGCTGACTCTTATACTAACTATGTAGAAAAGCCATCGAACAGTTCAGAAACTTCCGATGCCAATGCCAGCTCTGGCAGATATTTATCCCGCTCCGTATCACCAAGGTCGCTTAGATCATCAGAGGCAGGCGGTAGCGGTCTGGATAGACATGTATCGACTCGCTCCCTTCCGAGTAAGTACACCCGCGTGCAGCGTAGGAAGCTCATGCCAAAATCAGAAAGCATGATAGCCAAATCCGGCGTCGATCTAGAGAACAGCGTGTTGGCTAAGGTCAAGGTTGATCAGTATCGGCGAGCCCATTCCCTTCAAGCGGCCGTCCCAGTTGGTTTCAAGCCTTTGTGAGCTGATGCGCCCCCAATCTGGTCGGGAGCATCTCTCTAGCTAGTAGCTAGCAGGGACTGCACTCTTCGTCCAGTCAGTCAGTGATGCAATATGCCAATATATCCCCCCCCCCCCCTAACTTACATGCCATAAGTCATGTAAACTGCCAGCACTCACACCCAGTTTATCACCCAACAATTCTAACATTCTGAAAGCGGACCAATTTCAACTGAATGCTCATATCTGCTCATGCATCGCGCTTTCGTACCACATTCCAGCCTGACCACCTGCACCGGCACCACCAGTGTTGCTATGAGATCTTAAATCCACCTTGGCTGTCCACCTTAGTTTGTGTTGATCACCTCAATGTTGTCAGATCGCAGTGTATCCTTTTCTCTCATGTACTTTCTCTATACATGACGTGGGTCTTTGAACCTTTCCCAGCACATACCGTAACCAAGCACACCATTCACCATGTCCACAAGATGTGTGTGCTGGAGTGGCGCAGTTGTGAGCATGTGTGAGCATATGTGAAGTGCCAAGAAGATGGGTAGAATCACTGGGCTGAAAGAGTCTGCATACAGTTGCAGTGGCGTCGGACCCGGTGCGGCAGGTCCGGCCAAAGCCGCACTAATAATTATTTAATCTTGTGACTTTTGAAGCAATGAAATAATTATGGATTAGTTGGGTCCAATTTCCTAAAGTTTCACGGGGAGGACCCCCGGACCACCCACCCCCCACCTACTCATACGGTCGCACCAATGTCGATTACCTTCCGACGCCCCTGAGTTAGGTCTTTCCCAAATCGGCCGGCCAAAAAATTCGCCGAAAAGTAGCCTTTTCAGAAAATCGCCGATCTTTTGGCCGAATTCTGAGATTTTAGCAAGAAATCGCCGAATATACATGTACATGTTTTGCAGGGTCGTGGGCAACTAGGCATGACCGCTCGTGCGCGCCTGCGTCACGGCCCATGGGCATTTCCCAAATCGGCCGGCCGAAACATTGGCAGAACATAGTGGTTTTGAAGAAATCACCGATCTTTTAGTCGAATACGCAATTTTCGCCCTGAATTCGCCGAAAATTGATGTTTTAGTGCCTCAATAGCATGCAAATACAATTTCTGTAGCCATTATCTGCGAACGGTGGCTGCGACTTTAGAGCCGAATTTCCACCTTTTACAGAGATGTTCAGCCGATTCTGGCGATTTTTTCAGCCGATCGAAAAGCCGAATAGGCCAAAATAAATGGCCGATTTGGGAAAGGCCTACCCTGAGTTGTACCAAGACCATGCGAGCTTCTATACTCTTGGGCTGTGTTTACATGAGGCGTTTCAACCCGGGTCAGGTTTCAACCCGCCATGTACACAAAATGAATGGCATGCACTCTTGATTGCGCTTGACCCGGGTTGATTTCAACCCTCCCCCCAAGGGGAGGGTTGAAATCAACCCGGGGCGAGAAAATCGTACAAACGTACTTCTGTGCGTATCTCGCGCCAGGTTTGAATAGCACTGCACATGTAAGTATTCACGTGACCAAACAGGACTCTAGAAGTGGACTTTTGGCGGCATATCAGTATTTGAGCCGGGTCAACTGTCTTCAGGTAAAACGCTCACCTATTTTGTCTATCGTACAGACTTTCAACCCGGGCTGAACTCGACCCGGGTTGAAATTTCTCGTGTAAACACAGCCTTGGTTGGACTACTAGTACGCTGAAGTGCTCGTAGTGATGAATGTGCATGATCAATTCCTTAGGCTGCATTCAATTGCGGAAACTGGATCCCGATCCCCGCCGGCCAGATGACTTTGATCGGACGGATACAATCGAATGTAATCCGCTTCAAGACCTTGGCAACTGCGTTGCTACAGCTCACCCCGTTCTGTTCGTGGTATCTGTACGCATTGTGGTGCACTTTTCACCTACTAGTGTACGCATAACGTTATTTGGAGTTTTGAGTAGATACAATGCAAATGAATCCGTCGAATCCGGCTCTGGGAGGTGGATTGACTGGATCCGAATCCGTGGGACCAGGATCCGGATTCGTAAAATCGAACATGTACGAATTTGGCGGATCCGGATCTGGGGCCCACGGATTCGCACAATCGAACATAGGGTGAGTTTTTAAAGTCATTATAATTAAAAGGACAAGTCTCTGAACAGCCTTAGACACACACGCAGTGGGCAAGAGTACATCACAGGAATTATCACATGTCACCGTGAGTGTTTCCTAGGATCGGACCCATCACTGATCTGTATGAGCGGGCAATAAATCAGTCCAACGCCCGCGTCCAAAGCCCGTCGTCCGTGACACCACAGAGAGTGAGACTGGACGCGTGAAATCTGCGGGATGCTAACATGGTGAATGGGTACAGTACAGTGCAGTGTACTTGTGAATGCGTGGTCGAAAGTGGCGTTCTCAGCTTTTCTTTTTCTTTCCTTTCAAGTGTTGCTGCACACGAGGTCGACTTTCCCCTTTATTAGTTTTAATTCGTTCAGGTTAGTGCCTTCAGTAATGTTAGGCTGAGCGTGATAAATCCACTATGGCATGGTTGGTCGGGCAATAGTGGATTTTCAGTGCCCGACAAGTGAGCCCGAGGGCTGTAGGCCCGATGGCTCACTTGTCGGGCACTGAAAATCCATTATTGCTCTCCCAACCATGCCATAATAATTATACTTAACCGGTCGAGGTAGCTCGAAGCAGAGTGCCTGTTGTATGTGTAGCAGGAACTAATATTCCGTCGAGTCTAAAATAAAGTATTCGGTTGACTCTGAAGGATCCGACAGATCTGAGATCTGAATCTCGATCCTACCAATCAAACAAACTGCAAGACTCCTCACAAGCAAGTACTGATTGTTCCGACATTCTGACATAGTATGCAGCAGGATAATTATCTCTTTCAAATTTCAATATCGTTTTGAAACGCTAAAGTAATCAGATTTTGAATGATTGATACCCTAATCAAATCACCGTTGTAAAGTAATGTCTACTAAATGTCTGTCTATTCAAGCAGCATAGGCCAGGAGTACACTGAATATCAACACCGATATCTTCAAGATAATAATTATAATTGCAGTGGCAGCAATGTAACAACTTATTGTTCACTGGTGGCGGGGGGAATTGCTGCCATTTCAACATACAATCGGATAGTGACAAAAAGCCTGTATACAACGATGGAAGCCTGTTGTTCATATACCTTCAGAAGTCTTAGCACAGAGGACCATCAGCTTATACTGGATGGTAATCCGTTCTACGTTTTCTATTCCCATAGATCCTATCCGTCACCCTTCTCAAATACCTTTGAAGGGGCTTGAACAAACGATCAACTTCAGTCTTGTAAGTTCTTCTTGCAAGTACGAATAGGAAGCTGTTGAAAGTGGATGCCAAAATAAAAAAGCGAAGGGTCCAACTGAAAAAGCTGACTGGACTCGACTTTGTCTGTAGTTCTAGCCAGCAGATCACCTGCAGAACATTGGCAAGCAAATGAACAGTTCGCTTTAATAGTGTAATGGCAACATCAATTTACCATCAAACACAGGTGCAACCCGAATACATGTACATCTACAGTCATATAATTATAACTCAAAATTGCCGGAGAAAAGCTTTTTTAATAAACGTTAATTCTCCGCTATTCTAATCATCCAAACACGAACCCTGGAAGGCTGTTGGAGTGCGCATCCTAGATGTGCTAGAGCTGATTGCCAGTTAGGTGTAGAACATCAGTACCGTTGGTCAGTGCCATGCCATGTTATCGCATGAGCTAATTGTAAAGTAACTGGTGGTGTTAGTGGGTAATATAGCAGAACTTGTAGCTCTTTAGTCCTCTTTTCTTCTTATAAATTATTATTCATTCTCACTTTTTTGTTTGTTGCTGATACACACATGCCACGCTTAGGGTGCGTTCTTATATTCTCTAGCTTCTAGAAGAAGAAGAAGAAAAGAGAAGTCGAAGAAACTGGGATTACTCAAGAACGGGTCTCGAAGAATTTGGAGATATTTTTCACATGTCAAGCAAAATGAAGCGTCAAAGGGGCCGCGATCTTGAGTGATGAATGTATGTGTGTATGCGAAAAGGGAAATGCGTACACTCATGATGAACACGTGGCTTTTAGTCGTAGTTCGCATGCGCTGATCCCAAACCGCGGGAATCTCCAAGTTTCAACCACCTCTGAAGCTTGGAGAGCTGGGAGAGCTTTGGAGAGCCTCCTAAAAGTCGGAGAGGATATAAGAACAGCTCTCGAACTTTTCGGAGAGTCTCCAACTTTTCCGAGAGGATTTAAGAACGCACTCTTAGTTCTCATACCCTTGCTTTGTGCACACTTTTGTGAGAAGTCACACCTTGATATGATAGCTGAAACATGTATTAACGATAGCTGTCAAGTCGACACTTTTTTCGTACAGGCAGGTGGGTGGGGAAGGTCATAAGTTCATAACTAAACTTTTTCGTTACGTGAAAAGTATCGATAATAGGGAGGTTTCGCTCTACATAATTACGTATGAAAATCCGTATGTCGTACGCGCCGGGGAGCGAGGGCAACTTCCATACGTAAATCTCTTTACGGATTTCCGTAGGAAAGCTCTTTCCTACGTTGGGTCCTCCGATCCGTAGGACTTTTTGAAATTTTTTCGCATTTTCCGCATTTGTCCATGGCAACGTTCAAGCCGTGCGAAACACAAGGTACACACACCGTACACCACGTGCCAAATAAAATGAAAACGCAGTTTCGGTTCGTGGTGCATGAGGTGGGCGCATGCACCCAACGCGTCTCCAAAGCAACAACACATGTTTAGCAGTCGTGGAGAAATCAAGTAGAGCAAAACCCAACAGCCCTGATTTTTACGCATGAAAATTCCGTGCAGTTATTTTCATACGTAATTCCGTAGAGCGAAACCTCCCTAATGCCGGATGGTGGTGCCAAACATGTTATCATATCCCACATCATCATTGTCATCAACTGAGCCAGCAAACGATCTTGCAGTGCAGAGCGCCATCCAGTATCAGGTGATACTGCACACAGGAAACCTCTTACATATTTCTGTACAGTATTGCAACACTGCACTCAGTTTGCCCTGTGAATGTATCTAAGCATTCTAGCGACGGCAAGAGTACAGAACTCCCCAAGAGTGTGCAACTTCCGCATACCCTGCTGTCCCGACAGAATTTCAAATTGACGTCTTTTTATGATGCAATGCTCCTTGCACCAGTGATTTACGACATTTGTACGGGGTGTCAGCACATCACACGTTTTTCGTTACATTAGTTTGTACACTGAGATTGAATGTCTCTTTACCCACCACAGGTTCATGATACGTCTGATAATATGTGTACGTGTGCTCAATGCATCGTAAAAACGATGTCAACTTGAAATTCTGTCTGGACAGCATCCATAGTCGAGTTGCGCACTCTTGGGGGTATGTAGTCTTGGTGGTGGTTGATGTGTAATGCCATAAATGCACAATGGGTGGAGAACTATGCATAAAACAGTCATGAGGGATAGAGCTAGATTTCCTTTGCATGAGGGCAGTACTAGTACTACCAGCTCTGATATCTGAACTCACGCCTGGCTGAGTGCCATTCGTGCCGATATTGACCACTGCTGCCCTCATTCCCGGGCAATGCTTTATACGTACTAAGCATTCATACACAAGACACACGGTATCCAGCACTTTTGAAAGATATTTAGCAATTTGGCTTGTACTAAGCATTCCTAGGTCTGAGATGCCTGCACTGTGTACTTACCACTCCCGGAAGTTTGGAGACAACGTGTGTCAGAGAAAGTGCTAGCGTTAGCCTTGTCAGTGGTGACATTTTCACGCGATGATGGAGAAGCTGTAGTGCGTGCAGGGAGCCACCGTAAAGCCGTCTGCGTCCCGTTCCCGGTCCATGTTTAGTGCCGTGTGCACGGTGGGACAGGTCACCTTGGCTGTGACAACGGCGGAGAAAACGACATTTTCTTGTGGAGGTGGCGGGTGTCTCGTTCACGTGATCTGGCTGGGTTGCTGATTTGCTCTCAGACCCATCAGCAGGTTTCTGGCCACCATCCACTGCAATACTGTGCACAGAGCTTGGGATGTCAGTATTGCTGAATGACTGGTGAAGCGGGCGCAGCGTCATAGCCTGTTTGGTCAAAGCCGGCATGATAAGCCCAAATCCAACAGACGCACTTTTCTTCCTGTGCTTTGTCACCTGCGAGGAGGGCTTCGCCTTAGGGAAGTGATCGCCGTCATCTTCAGCTCGGCCGTCCTCCTTCAGTGCGGACGTTTTCTGCAGTGACTCATCCCAGGACTTAATCGACGTCGGCGGCCTGCTCAGTTGTCTGAACGTATAGCCGAGTGCCGCGTGCAGAACGAACAGCAGCACCAAGACAGTCGTTCCTATGGACAGCAAGACCAGCAGGAGGGTGTGCGAGGATCCCTCACGGAAATCCAGCAGGCATATGCCGTTGTAGAGTCTGACGTCGAGCGGATAAGTAGCAGTGGCAATGACTACACAGGTCGGCAGTAGCACGTGCAAGATGGCTGCTGGAACGGCTAGCTTGGTGTTAAACGCAAACCAACGATCATACAGGAACGGCTTCTTGATCGACAGCAAGCGCAGGGATGTGAAGAAAAGAGCGTTCATGATTTGCAAGAATGCCAAAGTCACCATGATGCTGCCAAAGAGCTGGCATGCAAATGAATCCTTGCGTATCTTACTCCAAATGCCAACTACCTGTGCAGCTTGTGGAAGGTAGTAAGCCATCGTGAGCACCATTCCACTCACTAGTTCAATCAGGAACGTGTAATCAAGAAGACAGCAGTTCATACGAGATTTCCAGAACACAATCAGCGCCAAGGTAATCGTTACCATAGTGACGGTCACCAGGACCGTGTCCACCACAAATTCAGGAACGCCGTATGAGCCAACCCTCGGTGCCAGGTCGCTTAGCGTGACCGTGGCAACTACTGTAGACGCTGAGCCGTTGAACGGGGATGAGAGAATTTCTTGTGCCGTCTCCATGGTAACGCACTGGCAAATCAGGGTAAGCCGCCGTGCTGAACTGCACAAAGCAAGCAAACGGTCTGTCACGGCTGGGTATAGGAGTGTTCAGTATGCTCCAGCTGCGGCGATCAATGTGACCTGTTGACGCCGCGGAACAAACTGTGGCTGGGCAGAATTGTGAGCTGCTGAAAGCTAGACATGTACGTACGACCTAGTGGGAACATTATACAGTACAGCGCCCCACAGTTGAGTTGAGCCTGACAAGTTGTGAAAAACCAGTCGCCACCAGAAATCCCGTTGCTGCTCGCTGCTGCCCTTCATCTGTTGTGACCTCACAGTGCTGAAGCTACACGTGCTGCACGAGCGCATGAAGATAGTACATACAGATGACAGGTTACTTGTGTAAAATAATACACTTACTGGGCCTTAGCATTTCCAAAGGGTTCTTCCGCTCGCAATTACTTGTCACTTTCTGCCCGTTCTGAATCCGCAGGCAAGAGCAGCGCGAAGGAGATGCTGCAGCGGTCTCTCTGACAAGCTAACAATGTAGTTAGCTGCTCAGCGCGATACCTTCGGGTATAACATAAAGTAAGGAGAACATCCCGGTAAACTAAGTCGAGTCAGCTTCAACCAATAATAATTTTGTTGGAGAGTCCACATATCCGTTATCAACTCCGGTTTCCAAGAGAAGATCTACTCTTGATCATACTATTCATAGTCTACGTCGCGGCAGTGCGCATGCGCCAAAGTCATGGGGCGCGCGCTAGCGCTAGCGAGCCTGTTATCATTCATGGTGACTACTAGCAAGAGTCCATAACCCGTTATCATGGTTATGGACTCTTGGTATTAGGTATGCGTGTGTGGACCCAGAACCTACAGAGTACAGACTACAGTCAGTACAGGCATCCCACTTCACTTCGACTGTTCCAGGCAAACAGGGAGATACCAATCCATTACCAGTTACTGATCTTGAGACCAGCGCGACATGGCAGTGAGCTATGACTAAGACTAGTAGCAAGAGCAAGAGTACATAATTTTTATGTACTCCTGCTAAGAGTATGAGCCCGAAATCGGTCGTCTGGCTACTCTTCTTATCCTGGAAACTGGAAAGTTCGGCGGCATTGTCCTGCCTCCTGCTGGGGGTGACGGACATCACTCACTGACTCAGCTCTACTAGCCTCTAGCTGTCTACAATACATGGTCTAGGACCGTGCATGATGACCAGACGGTGTTCACTGATACTATAATTATTGTTAAAGGGGAAGTCCGGTGAAAAATTTAAATTTCAGGGTCGGTAGAGTTTCGGGCGCTGAGTCGAATGGTGTTGGTCCAACGTGTCTCCGACAAAGCGTTCTCGAGATATTTCCGTTTGAAAAACTGAGTTTCGGGGGCTGCGCCATGACGTCATGCGGCCGCGCCACACCCTCCGCAACGTCATAGCGTGCAGCTAGGTCAAAAGGAGTGCGTGAAAGCAATAGTGTCAGTGCTATTTCAAATGATTTGGCGACTGATATTAGGTGGTGCAAGCGACCCCGAAGACCTAACTCCTTGTGAGAGTGAGGATGCAGCCATGGCTGACCTTCATGAGTTTGGTCTGTGGCTGAGAACCTCGGTATTCAGCTGAAGAAATGGCCGCGCGGGCCGGTCAAGAGTGAGCGCTACTGAGTTTCCGACTGATGAAGAAGCAGCAGCTATTGCAGACGAGGCTGACATAATTATCAGATCGCTGGAGAGCAGGGTCGCCGAAATGGAGAAGAGTGATGCGAGTGCTCTAAATGTTGTTCCATACCGATTCACTTAGACTCCAGTAGCCTGCCACATGGTGATGTTTTGGTGCGAACTTGGCATATTTCGGACTACTCAATTGGAGAACACTGCAGGCTCTTTGAACCACGGGCACGACTCTTCGCTCGCAACTCTATGGAATCTGAAAGTTCTAGGTCCTGGAGCTGTTCGCTGTTTTGTCACTTGTCACGGTTGTGCACTCATCGCTGTAGCATAAAATAATGAGGCGGGACTGGAGCGGAAAACTAAAATTTTCTTTCTCAAAGCACAACCACCGGCACCGGCAAGGAGAAACGCACGTTCTCTGACTACATGACTGTACTACTGATGCGAGTGTAGTACATGGACAAGTCCGTGTGTTGACTAGTTTTCTGAGTCTTGTGTCTCGAGCCTTGTTGTAGCTAGCCCAGCACGGCAGTGCGGGAGTAGTTCCGTGTCACAGGCGTGTGTGATGAGTTTGTTGACTGCACTAGCTAGCATGCACGCAGCGCATTACCGTACTGGCCCGTAGGCGCCAGGCGTAGAGGCCATGACGGAAAAAGTCCAACTCGGAAACGGCTAAAATACGGTATAACCTCGAGGTTTAGCGAGCTGAAAATCACAGGGTACGTAGTGTTTGTAACACTGAATCGAATGGTCTTGGTCTGAAGAAGCTGCGACAAACGGTTCCCCAATCGAACGCGCTCCGAATATGGCCATTTTGTACACGACTAGATGGTGTGGCTACCTGGCTGCACGCTGTGACGTCATCACCTGGATCTGGGTGATGCGCGCTCAAATTCGCACATGTTCGATTGGGCGTATCTGACGAACCATAGGCCGCAGCCTCCTCGGACAAAGACCATTCGACTCAGCGACCCAAACTCTACGGACTGTGAAATTTAAATTTTTCACCGGACTTCCCCTTTAAATTGACAGCTAGCATGAAACAAGGACTTACATGTAGGTGGAGGACACTGTGTTCGGAAACAGTGGCCATACTACAAGTACAACCTTCCGCGGTTGGCAGAGCCCCGGTCCCTGCGGACCATTTTAATTTTGAACCATATGGGTATCTATATAAACAATATAATAATAATAACAAGGTTGATCTAATTTAGAAAAGCGATCCTGTCAGCTTTTCTATTATTGTGTTCACATGGCGCTACCTAACGACACCGCTATTCAGACACTTTGTCTACGTAGCTACGTAAGTTTCTACGTAAGATGCTCGGTACCTGGTCCTGGACCAGGGAGCTACTCCATGGCTCCGACCATCGCGCGGCCGGCTGGCCGTGTGCATTGCACTTGCAGACTTTTTGTTGTTGCCTTTTCGGATGTGCATGCACGAGGAACTTCCTTCTTTGGAACTGCTTCTTGCATGAGCTGTTTCGGATATTTCGTCTCCTGGCCTGGCTTATTTCGTTTCGGCGCTGCTGAGACCTCCTTTCGCGGAATATTACTCAATGACAGGTGAGTTGACCAGTTCCCTTTGATTCATTTGCTTGTGTTGACTCTTTCATTTACGAAAAGTGTGCTGATTTTGGGCGGAATGCAAAAAATAATGGAAAAGCTGACAGGATCTCCTTTCTAAATTTAGCTTTTCCGCTGCCGAGGCCTCCTTTTACGGAATACTCAATGACAGGTGATCCCTGAGTTGACCAGTTTCCTTCGATTCATTTGCTTATGCTCACCCTTTCATTTACGGAAACGTGTGCTGATTTTATTCGGATTTAGATCCATTTTTATCTCTTTGCCCTTGCCTACAGTGTGCGAAGAACGCGAGTTCACCTTCTTGACGGCTTATGTTGCTGCTGAGGCTTAGATGTGTTGTCGAAATACTCATGTTCATTGTACATTGGTACGTTACAAGTAAGGCACTGGCCAGTGGCATACGATCGTTGGCAGTTCCCAATCTGGAGGGAAAGGTTCAACCACCCATTGACCGAGTATGCAAAATAAATTCGCATATCAGGGAAAATCTCCATTATGGAGAGATTCAGTGACTTGTTTGCTTCATACGAAACAAGCCAATGGGTGCAGTCTCGTCTCGTGAAAATCTCGTACTTGTATGATTGGATTTGTTTACTCGAGTCTGGGCTGTTTGATTTGTGAGTACCGCCGAGATTGCACTGCCCCAAATAAAGTTGCGTGCTGCCAAAGCAAAAATTACGATCTCCAATCTGTTTGTAGTACCTGCAAGAATGTGCTGTACATGTATAGTACTTTCTCTGTTGCTGTTTCAGTTGCCGTCATGTTGCTAAAGAAAGGTTCAGTGACTCTTTTGTTTCATACGAGACGAGTCGGTGTGGCTTAGAATCTTTCGCTGTAGAAAAAATCTATTCGTATGTCTATTGGAGATATGTATTCACTGGTTATAAAATAGGTTAAGACAAACTCACAGAATAAATACCATAGGTCCCTTGCTGTTCGTCCTAAAGAGGTTTGACTGGATATCATTCATACTCACGGCAAAAGATGTGTAACATTTTATTATTATGGAGTGCCTTGTTTATCTCTCAGTACCTTCAGGGTACCCTGTAAGAAGGCCTTAGGCCTGCGGGGATTGCCCTATCAAACATTTGACAATTTGATAATAATGACCTCCAACCTCCAATGGCCTTTCCCCTTTTATCCTCAGGATCAGTGTAGTTGTTGGAACGAGGTGCCGGACTCAGCAATGTGTTCGTTTACATTTTAATACATGTTTATTGTTCCTCCTTTGCTGTGTTGTTTTAGAAAATCGTGGAGTAACAGTTTAAAGTCATTGAACCACTTCCAAAAGTTGTATCGATATCAACAGGATTACGATTTCAGTGCAATATGATGCAGGATGACCTTATCACGATAACCCATGATTATAAACAATTTTAAACACAGAATCTACAAAAACATCTGCGACACGCACCTGGCTACATTTCTCAAGTAAATCTTATCGAGGGTGGGGAAATCTGAAATATTTGAAAGGCAAGACAATTTATGACAAGTCATGAAATTCTGCAACAGCAACATGCACAGAATGACCTGCGTATAAAAAAAGTATCACCACCACTAACCACATGTTTCCCCAGCAGAAGAACATGCATTATGCTAGTGCCATTTTCTGCAAGAAAAGGCTTGCACATCAATGCGTATAATACGGTATTGATATGATGTGAAGGCCATCATTTACATAAGGGCATTCCATTGATTGGTGACAGAAAAAACAAAAGAAATTATAGCAATAAAAACTGCTTTATGGCAGCTTTCTAAAAAAAGTTATTGTGTTCTAGCCCTGGGTCCGGCATAGGCTATAGAAAATTTATAAAATTGCTTCCAAACTGACTTGGACTCCGTCTAAAAAGTAAGAAATTAACGAAAATAATGTGATTGCCGAAAATTAAAATTTCACACAAAACCTCACAATAATCACACACCGGATGAAAAGCTAGAAGACCTTTTCCCTTCGTGATCCTCTTTCCCATGCATGCATGTTGGTGCGGTACAAGTACAGTGTCAGACTAAACAAGTGTTGAAAGCAGTATGGCTGGCAGTGCATCCCCAGAATGCTTGCGGTTTTTGAAGCGATTATGCGCTATGCTGGCACAGCATGATGGCAAGCCCTACGGCGAGGTTATGGCCTATGTCAGATGCCGTCTGTCGTTTGCACTCCTCCGAGCTGCAGTTATGTGCATCAGAGGGGCTCGCTCTGCATACCATCGACCGGTAAATGCATTGCGCCCACTAGCCATGGCTGAGGGACGGATGTAACAGTGGTGTGTATAACCTTCTTTGCTTTTTCTTCATTTGGTCCTTTAAAATGAAGCGGCTTTTTATTTCCTTTTTCTTCTTTTGCACCGAGATATTATTTCTTGCTATTTTTTACCGG